ACACACAGACATACACAGACATACACACACAAATGGTACACAGACATACACAAACAGACACAGACAGACACGGGCACAGACATACGGAGACACGGACACAGACAGACACAAACACAGACACAGACACAGACACGGACACAGACATACAGAGACACAACCAGACAGAGAGACAGACACAGACAGACACGGACACAGACATACGGAGACACAAACAGACACAGACATACGGAGACACAGACTGACACAGAGACAAACACAGACAGACATGGACACAGACATACGTAGACACCTTCAGACACAGACACAGACACAGACACAGACGGATACCAAGACATAGACGGATATACATAGACATAGACGGATATACACAGACATACACAGACATACACAAACATACACACACATACACAGACATGCATACACAGACATACACAGACATACACGCACATACACAGACATACACAGACATACACGCACATACACAGACATACACAGACATACACGGACATACACAGACATACACACACACAGATACAGACACAGATATAGACACACACACACGAAAGATAGAGAGACAGACATAGATACAGACACACACATACACACATACAGACAAACACAGACAGACACACACACACACACAGGCACATACAGACACACACACACATACACACACACATACACACACAGACACACAGACACACAGACACACATACACACACACACACACACACACACACACACACACACACACACACACTTGACGGAGGACTATTCCGTCTTAGGTAAGTTGTACTCTGCCCTCCATGGCTTTATGAATGAATGGTTCGTGGCCCTGTGATACGTACAATGCTTCACACGTATGAAAAGGGAGAGGCGGGGTGCTTGGGGGGAACTTGTCAGTGGGCCGCAGAACACCCCCTACAGTTGCCAAACCAATTTGGAGCGGTTTGGGTGGAGAGTGAGAGCAGGGAGAGAGGAGTTGACTACTGCGTGCCGGATTCGTTTTAATGTCATTGATTCCGAGAAAAAATGGCACTCAGTAGTCAACCTTGCTATGATGTCCGTGTACTGACTGGCAGCGTCTCACGACCGCATACTTCCTGCAGAGGGACACACAAACAACATTAAACAAACCCTCACGGAGATTGAAATCATCGTTTCATCGTTCCACTTACAGACACATACACAAAAGCACAACCATTATGTCGATGTCAGCGGCGCAGGCGAGGACAACTCTTAAAGAGGTAATGCAATACGCTGAGGAAGGCATCCACTACGATGACGACGGGGAGCTTGAACTACTAACGGAGAGAGTGCCCAGCTACTTCGAAGTCAGAGTGAACATTCGTGCAAGCATCGCTGCGAACGGAGAGGAGTCGCTCAGAGCACGGATGCTATTGGCACGGTTCACAGAGGCGCGTGATTTGCGTGTAGATGACAGTGCTGATACCGGTGCATACAGCTTGAGAAAAGTGGCTGGTTGGATGTGCACAGAAGGGATGTCTGCTGAAGGGGACGTGGATATGACAAAGCAGCAGCAGGGCGGAACATACACGGGAGCTGATTTCAAGAAGATGCTCATGACACAGACGAGGAAATGGGGAATGCTTGTTGAAGATTCTAACGACGAGCTGAAGAGCGGTGCAGCAGAAATTATGTTGCTGTCGCGTTTGAAGGACATACCGCAAGCTCCTCCGCAAGACTTCCAAGATCTTCCAGTCATTATTGCAAACGGGGTGGAGTATGTTTTACTCGACCAGCTGGTGGATTGCATGCAAAAGAGTCCTCAGGATCGGAATGTCATACATGAGGCATTGCATGATTTGACAGAGCAAGCACTGGCAGGCAAGGACCTTGTTAACTACAAGATGCGGATTGTGAAAGAGAATGTCATATGTGGAACTCCATTATGGGATGGAATGTTTATGGAAGCTTTGGATCGCCTCACCATCGCGACTTCTGACGTGGACAGAAAGAGGTCAAGGGAGGAAGGATGAAAGTTGATCGCCAGGAAAGCAGATGTTGCACTTCAAGTTGCAGATGGACATACTTCATCAGGGGAAGAAATTGACAGAACAGTCTCCTTCGTGCGTGGGAGCATCATCACAGTGTCCAGGGAGGAGGTTGAAGAAGAAGATGTGTTCAATGAGTGGACAATGATAGAACAACAATGGAGACGAGGGTTCGAAGACTCTTCTTTACCAATCGATTTTGACTATGACATTGAAGAAACAACAGTGACGAACAATGAAAAAGATGCGAAGCCGCCAACATATGAGGTGGAAGTGAGTGGCAGCGATGTGAGCAGCGACGAGGAGGGTGAGGAGTATGATGCGTACTGGAAAATTAAAGTAGGAGGAGGGCAAGCATCTAAAGGGTGGGCACATGCGATTCTCAGGTTGACACGTGTTTTCCGTAATCCCCATTTACTGTTGCGTGTCGTGCTGAAGGAGGCAATACCTGACGGCGCACTCCAGTATGCAGCACTGACGACCATTATGAGATCATGCTCGAATGGAAAAAGATGGTCACGTATGGGGAAGAATTGGTTTGTCTTGGTCAACAGAGAGGTTGTCCTCGCAACCTCGCTCACTTGGGGCCTGGACCTTAGTTGCCTCCTGCACGGGGCTATAGCCAGCGGTTCTGGTGCTACGTTGCACCCGACACTATCAACAGGAGCGGATATACTTCTTGCTCACACATGGCTTGGCTGCGCTTCAGAGACCATGATGGACAGCGGGGATACAGACATTGATGGTGGACAGCGTTGAATGCAATTGTGCGTTGCACAAACATTTTTCTTGTTTGACTAATTTTGCTATTCACAGACAGAGTTTGTGAGATATTTGAAGTGTTGGAGTGCTCGACAACGGTGTACAAACTTAATCTCTCTCTCTCTCTCTCTCTCTCTCTCTCTCTCTCTCTCTCTCTCTCTCTCTCTCTCTCTCT